TATATATATGCCTGGATTGGCATTCTGTGCGTTCTGCATTCCTACTCCTTCACCTTGATTCACCTGACTCAAAAAGAGACCAAACTAACGAAGCTACACCCGAACATTTCTAGTCTTTCCATTATTGCATCCATTTCAATCGACTCCTCCTTAAGCCGCTGTATGTCAACTTCCGCGGACGTGTGAAGGTCAACGAGAAGCTCTTGACTCAGTTCACCACATTAGATGGAGTCAGGCAAGGCTATCCTCTCTTACTTTTTGCACTTCAAATTCATCACATATAAAATTATGGTAATGCAAACAATATAATCTGAACAATTCTGCCTCACGGTTTGGCATGCGCACAATGCAGAATTCTGCTGCAAAACTGGGTGGGATCGAACCCTAACCTCATATCGATTGGAATGGTAGACAAACTTGTTTGCCTGAGCAGCTGTATCACTCCCAGTGGTCTCACGAAAGACGATATTTCTATCAGGATTGGGAAGGCAAGAACAGCTTTCGTGAACCTGCATCACCTGTGGCGTACGAGCGACATCAGCTCACCCGCCATATACCGAGTTTATAATGCTGCGGCGCACTTCATGTTAGTCATCGGAAACCTGGCCGCTGCGTGCCGGAGACTTCGAAAACTCTCATTGTCTGACCGTCGATATCTTCGGAGCATTACCCGAGTTCGGTGGGAACACCAGAGCAGTAATGCTGGAGTACGTCCAATTGTTTTCGAAAGAAATAACTCGCCCTCGATATATGAACTCAGCACACACCATAGACTGCTCTAGCTTCGTCACGTGATTCATATGAAAGTCGATCGAATTCCTCGAAGGGCTATTTCCGTAGAACCAAGCGAATGGTGAAATGGAGTCCGAGGAAGTCAAAAAATGACTTGGCGGCGAAGTATGAAAACCATTAGCAGCAAACGCAGTTGCACATGTCAGTATTGCCTTCCTGGATCAAGACCCCGAAACGGGACGAGAAATTGTCAGACATGATTCAGTCGCGCCCTCGATGGCGCTCGTGCATCCAAAGATTGCCTTCGACGCTTAGCTCCCTTCTTAACCTATCTACTTGAGAGTTCACTGACAACCCTATCCACGCGTCACTTATATCAGCAAATGCACCTCCAATGCGCAGTTACGTACTGCAACTCCCCAAATCATCGGTGAAAGGAAGTGTGGCAGCTATAGCCCCTCTGCGGCAAGTACGTGGTTTTTACAGCTGATAATGACAATGGTGACCATCCATCCAAACGGATATCCAGACTCATGTATGCTCTTATATTCGTATATGCGTTTTTTGGTATGGTTAATGGAAATTTTAGTCGTTAGTCTGAACCAATTCAGCTGCAAGTTTTCAGGCTAAGAATTAACCTCAAGGCCCACAAAGCGCTTATTATAATTACCGTTAATTCAAGTGGCCAGAATGACCATGCCGAGGCAGAAGGGGAATGATGTGCGAGGTGGCTTAGTGGTTATGGGGGCGAATTTACTGAGCGGAGGGTCCGTAATTCGAACCCAACCTGGTTATCGAATTCCCCTGTTTAGGTTTGGGCAACCTGACAGTATGCTAGCCCTCAAAGTCCTTCGGTTGGCATTGCAGTTAGGCACCCATAGGATGATACAGTAGAACGACGGGTCTAGGAACAACATGAATGCACACCTAATGTCTCGGACATTCTTGAATGGCAACACAAATACACACAGCACCAGCTGAAAGACAGGCACGAGGTGAGAGAATAAAGCTCACTGAATGAACAGGGTGATAACTACTTGTAACGAAAAGGTGAGATTTTTCAGGTTTACTAAATAATCAATAGGTGCAAACTGTTCGCCACTCCTTCACAAAGACCAGATTGGTTTGATCTAGATAGAGAGTCAGGCACCTCAATTGTTGACTCATCATTCTGCTTTAAGTTCCCCACCCACACAATCACCACAGTTAAACGCCGACTAAGCAAAAAGAGCCCAGAAATATGCAACTAATATCTGTTAGACAGGTCATCAAAATACGTTCATTCGGAGACAGACAACAAAAGAAACCATACTTGAAAATTTTGCTGTGCACAATCCACTTAATGATGGTCAGTTTTAAACCATTGAACCTAAACGGCATACTCAGCTGGCAGTACCAGTTATGTGATAAGCCTTATCGAAAGGGAAATCGGACCATTTTGCTTTAAAATAAACTCGGAACTAACGCATGTGATTACCCCATACATAAGAAAAGAGGACCGACCTAAACAACAGAAAGACAGAAAATCTAACGCGAGGTTCGATTGGATTTTGTGGTATTTATGTAGTTTCCAATGAATACATAAGATTGTACTAAGAGGATTTTACAAAATGAATGTTGGACAAGATTAATGGTCACGTTCTGGTGGACCAGGACACCTGGTGATTAACTCTGTGTACGCGTCTGAGAATAGGCCACTGGAGGATGAGGGAACGAGAAAAGATTAAGACACCAACCAGGACGTAGAGAAAACATGTACATAAACTCCGAGTCCAGCAAGTTGACTCAAATGCATAAACTGATAACAAGTAAAAAAGAGGCGAGCCCCTGAAGCTTACTGTTGGTTGGAAACGCAATGCAAGATGCAGCACGGTACGTGGAAACATTATTTGGGGCATTACACCACACTCTCGACCGGGCGGGGAAAGTCAGGATCAGTAGAAACAATAACTAACCCAAAATCAATCGCGTCAGACAAGTTTCACAAGTACGAACAGAGAACGAGGCGAGAGAGCGCAAATAGTAAGCGGACCGAGGCAGTGGACGACGGTCATTGGGCGGAAGAATTCTGTTTGGTCACATCTCTTTTGGGCAGAAACTCTCCCGCTGGTGATAATAAAAACAAGATCCAAAAATAGGGAGCGTGTTTGTGTGCAAAGAACGAGGTAGTGGTAAGATTAGTATGCACAGGCGGGGTGCGGCTGTTGTCGTTTGCGGGATGGGCGAGAGTAAGAGATGGTGAGAAGGAGGGCAGCGGACCCAGGAAGGTAGACATTTTCGTACTGCATCACAACTGATGAGCCAAATATAGGGGAAGATAAGGGTGAAAAATGCAGTCAAGCAAAGTGACACGACAGTATCTTGTGGACAAACCCGAGGGCAATCGGAAGTCAAAAAGAACCACACTGGGACGCAGGGTCAATGCAGCTGTTTTGGGTAGAAGGAAAGGAAAAATGCATCCGGTGAGATGACTTATACAACTCATATGATAGAAATGATGCCTTGAATACTCAGAAATAGCTGGTCTAAGGGGTTTCGAGACCTTTGCAGTGGTTCCCTGTAAGACAGCCTAAAGTTTAATCCGTTGCGTTTTAGCATTTTCCCTTCATAGCCCCATACTCATGAAGCGAAATTCCTCGGAGAGGTGTACCACCGAAAAGGAATGGGAAGAATTTGGTTTCATCCACGCCGAAATTGAACCAGGCTTTCGCATCGGAATGAACTAACACATTTAGGAGATAAGTAATTTAACTCAGTTCCAGATATTTGCGAGGGTAAGGGTTTTCCTCTTTCACTACAAAAGAGCCGTATTTTCGTAATCAAGAGAGCAAATGCAGTGTGCATGATTGGGCTGAGGTAACACCATTTTCAGTGGGCCTGCCGCAGTACTCCACGAAATTAAGAGAATCTAATGGGCCTACTTTCCCTTTCACCATACATCTAAGGGATGGACAGTTTAGCCAGAATTCTTGGAAGGAGCCACTGCTGCACCGGAAGCTGAAGCAGACAACAAATCAAGCAAAATGAAGTAATACGCAGCCAACAGTAGAAGCAGACAAGGGAATTCTATATCATTAGAAAAAGCACAGGTTCACCGGCTGTTCTGACACAACAGATGGGATGCAACGACAGCTATAGAGATGAACTACTCAGGTGGAAATGTGTACATTATTTATACAGGCTGAGCTATCCGTACTGCCGTCATACACATGAGAATCTAACAAATGAGGGGATACATGAAAATCCTTTTTGAACAAATAAGTGCGTGGGATGAACGAAACAAAACGTCTTTGATAGGCCCTCATACTGCGGTATTCAGATTGACTGGCCGATTGGCTGTAAACACATTCACGTGATTCAGTCCTGGTTTTAGGACAACCGATTTTTGAAGAGAGAAAGCTGGGTGTATGGACGTTCTTTGGTGTTATTCATCCTCTAGCAGGTTAAACAGAGTGAAAGTGAACCAATTATGGAGGAATATGGAATACGAGTGATCTGCGTGACAGACAGGTCATAAGTCAACTAACATGACTGACTGGGTGATGGAGATATGGTTGGGTGTGCACTGGAGTTGGACACAAGCCAGTTTGGAAGTAGGAACTGAACACACTTTTACCCACACAGCTAGATTATGGGAGCGCGAATAGCGACAACTTGAGCTATCCCAAAGTTGCGAAGTCCAACCACTTTGGACTGGTCAGTGGTGAAAAAATATTGTCTCAGATGACCTCATTGTGTCAACTAGGCGAGTTAGGACAGCATTCTGGATATGAACACTCGATTCCAGACGCAGTGGATTCGGGTAATGTTATCTAAGCCTTTGGACAAATCTTAAGTAGTGTCACTGAAAATTGATGTGTTGAGCTTTATCACATTCACGTCCTGAAGGAGATGTGAATCTCTTCTGAGACCGATTGCCTGGTCCCTCAGGCCGAGGTGCAGCACGAACACAATACAACTGGACTGTAGATGTTGCGATAAGCGAATAGGTAGTGAAGTTTCAGTATGTAGGGAGAATAAAACGCTGAGACTCAAATCAATTTGGAACGACACTGTGATGCATGTATTTCCACCTAAACCCAGTTGTTCGCAGACGGATATGAAACAAAGCACAGGCTATGTACAAACCAGCACTGCACACACATCATTATAGTCACTATATGAATATGTACACTATGTTAAGGCTTGTTTTGAATTAACAGACATCGCCGAATAGAACTGAATGCATGTTTAGGTGGACGCAATTTTCAGGTGGAACAAAATACTAACTTTCAGCCACACTAAGGGAGAGGGGAAGGGAACTTCATCAAATCGAACCATTCCCACGTAATAGGAAACTTACTAAATTTGGAAAGACATAAAAATGTTACCCGAGTTGGTTGGAGCAAGGCTATGAACTCTCTGAGACAAGCAATCCACCACTGGAAGGCCTTCCACTGGCTGCGTCGGTTTCTGCAACAGAAAGCGGAGTAGACTGCTGCTGTTGTTGTTGTTGTTGTTGGCGTTGCTGCTGATGCTGTCGGATTTCCCGTTGTTGTGCCATTTGGATTTCACAACGGCTTTGTCGGTGCCTTTCGACCAAATGGGAGAAACTCGAGTCCAGCCATTGCTTGATATCGGCATACGTCATCAGTATGACGTTCTGACTATCACGGCTAACGAGACAGAGGCGCTCATGAGAACTGGCTTCAACCTAAATTCAGGTAGAAGTTACAGTTGTTTTAACATAGTGAAGCTGCTGTTAGAGCATATATGGTAGACTTTCAAATTGGTTCATAGATGCACCGTATCAACCTGATTTAGACTACAGCAGGCAACGCAGACAGCGCTGAGGTGAACAAAATACCATAAACGACTGGAAAAGACCACTGACGGACCATGACTTGTCCTGAAAATGAGTACTGAACAGTCAACCCGAATGGCCAAAGCCGCTAACATTGCTCCCAGATTGATTGTGGAACACTGTATATACTAAATGTGTGCCCGCATGCGAAAGGTCCACGTGAACCTCATAGTAATAGGTGAAGGGGAACTCAGAAAGGAGCGATGACAGTGGTGCCAGCGTAACGCTAAGTTGATCAGTGGTTCTTAACCGTTTTCCTTCTGAATAATTCAATGACAAGTCCGATTGAAATGAAAAAATAAACAAACAACACCACGAATAGTGACTTTATTATACGGTGTAGTGGCACATCAGCTAAGTATGTAATAGTCTGAGCTAAATGAGAAGGAAAAGGCTTGCCTAATTCCTGTCTCTGTGTACAGATTTAGCCTTTTGGTTAAAAGGCTGAGCAGTATACGATACTGTGAAAGCTATTACAATTACGTGTGTCACAAACATAGTGGACTAATCTACCCTATGCAAAGTAACTGGAATTACGGAATATGAACTTACCAACAGCCAGTTTTATTCACCAGATTTAAACAAAATGCTCCTCTTACGAATATACATGCGTAGAAAAGCCCGTGGGTACTTTTTGGGTTACTGCTGTTGGGTCTAGAAAACTGTTCAGTATAACTGGAGCTCCAATGCTGCACAGCCAATCGATCGGGATGCTTTTGTGAAGGACTGTTCAACCATAAAATTTGCTTCCAGTAACTGATATAAAAGATACTTTCGGCATCCAACTGTCACAAGTATCTCAGAAAAGCGTGACCACACTTGAAGTCTACTCTAGCTTTGGTGTCTAACACAATCCTTCGGGGCTCCTTTTTGTTACATGGCTATATGCAGCGGACTTACACTGACATTAACAAAAGAACTGTTCACTTTTATGTTTCATGTATGGGATGGATGAATATTTAAGCCCACTGGTGTTCAAACTGATATGCTGAACGAAAACTACTTGGGTCGATGAGGATGAATTAAACAAAAAGACCCACGACATTCAATGAAGGGATACCAGTCTTGGTCGACCATGTGTGCCTGGCTGCTCATTTAGTGTCAATACGGAAAATTCGCACACATCTTGCAGGTCTCTGGCGATGTTTCCTTTCCTAGTTTATCTATTTTACACTTTTAATGTTTGCAATCAACCGAGCTTAATAACTGTTTTCTTCGTACCCACCAAATGTAAACTTCCGAGTATCTCACTTTCAGCCACTGTCGATCATCATGAACTTAGACATCACGTCGATATGTTGGGTCAGGTATACTACCGGACGTAACCGAAAAAAGGTAACTGTATGCATGGCAGTGGACGTGCAACGCTTTTTCAAAAGCTGGAACTTCTGTAAAGTAGACATAAGGCTAGTCTACACGCACTACGAACAGTTATCCACCTAACCTTAATTTACGGGCATGAAATCCTGTCAGTAAGCACTTGGGAGATATGAGCCTTTAGATATCCTACCTACGGTGCCTCATAGGCATCCATTAAGTAAAATAGAACAGGAAAATAGGAACGAAGAAAGTAGCACATGGCACGTCGATATCCAGTGACATTGAACTTTTGACCCGGCCATATCCTGGGATGTCACGACACTTTATTCAAAAGGCAAAGGCTGCCATTAATTCTGCCCTGGATGTGAATGCATCTTAGGTGGGCAGTCAGAGTAGATGTGAAACGCTTGAGAGTGAGATATTTTGACAGTGAAAGCCAACGGGATCGGGATGGAGTTCCCGTACATCCGACCCTATATGAGCTATCGTAATGCACCATACCAAGGGCCATTCAGCTTCCTAAAAGAGAGCACCGCATTTGAGTGAAAACGAGATTTTTGTCGAAAAATCAGTGGAAAAAGATGGGAAGAGTGGAGGAGATTTCGATGTAGCTCCTCACCTTGTTTAAGGTCGTGATGATATGCGATAAGTCCAAATACGGAGCACCCAGCTGATCTGTTTGATGGAATACAAAATCCCGGAACAGCTTTAGCATGTATCGATCTCCAGTTTCCGACCAGTCCGGATTCGTGCCATTACGACTGAAACAGAAAAATGCTATAGGAAAACCTTATACGTTTACATCAAGAATGTGATGAAATAGAAACCGGGACCAAACCTTGGGAAGTCTATTAAGAGCTGGTACCAGGATAATCTGGAGCGTAAATTAGGACTTCGCAAAGCGTCGCTGCTGCAGCGACAAGCTGAAAAACTGCAAATTTACGAGTAAACTTCACTGACAGCACCGAAAACAGCTACCCCTTCCTTTGTCTTTATGATAGCTGTATCAGATCGAAGAATTAGCTCCACACCTGTCTCGGAAGATGACGTACGCCGTTAAAATTGTGAAAACCCAGATCATCGACCATTTTGGCTTTATCAGGTAGGGCTCTGTCAGAAGCCTGGCCGTTGTGCGCTGAGGACGTCCAAAGAATTTCAGTGTTTGACCATCCATGTCTTTGGAGCATCGCCCGAGTCTGTTGGGAAAACCGGATCAGCAATGCTGAAGTACGTCGAATGGTATTCGGAAGAAATAACTCACCTCGATGGATGAACTGATCACACTGTATCGGTTGCGCTGACTTGGCCACGTGCTGCTTATGCCAGTCGACCGAATTCCTCCAAGAATTCTTTTCGCACAACCACATAAGGGGTGGAAACGAACCAGAGGCGGTCAAACAATGACTTGACAGCGAAGTATAAAAGCCAGTACGAGCAAACTCAGTTGTACTGATCATTGCAGTCTTCCTGGATGGGGACCCAAAGACGGGCCACATAAACGGCTGGAGACATTGTCAGACATGGCCCAGTCGCGCCCTCAATGGCGCTCGTGCATCCAAGCTATTGCCTTTAATGCATAATTTCCTTTCCAATTTACCTACTTAACAGTTCGCTGACAGTGCTGTATTTACGAACGAATTTATCAGCTCCCCTCCAATCTGCAGCTACATACCCTAAATCATCGGTGAACGAAACTGTGGCAGCTACAACCACTGTACGACAAGTACGCGGTTCTTACAGCTGACAATGATGATGATGATAATGATGACCGAGTGAAAAACGTCAGTTGGAGCATAGGGACGCTGAACCCAATGAAATCCTAATCCGTGGATGGCTTCCGAAGCATTGAGGTCGGAGAACTAGAATCACTGCATTCAGCACCAAATCACATTTCATAAAGTTCGGAGGGAGCAGGAGGCCAACACGTGCAGGACGCGGTTAAAGTAAAACAGACAGACAGGCAGAAAAACGCCGAAAGTGTGCAAAAGTATGCCACGGCAAAACATACTCTGAACTTAACTCGACCTGAGGCTACTCGAAATAGGAAATTGTAAAGAAAAATGACTTACTCATTTCGTTCGACAATAGACTGCAACTTGCAGATTAGTCGGAACAATCGGTCGCACTCCATCCCCTGAAAAAGGTTATATTTACAATTATTGTCCACCACATTGTTTATGTGTACCATATAGTACCGAAAATCATTGTCGACACTGAATCTCGAACCGACCTGTTGGGGACTGTTAACAATTGCGTCCATATTCTTGCTGAGCGGCCAGGTCACGTTATTTGAGTCTTATTTAGAAACCAGTAGGTCGGTTTTAGAAGATCAAATGCCTACGATCAGAAATGATAAACAGGCGGATGGAGCAACATCAACAAGAATTGTGTAACCACACCTAATCCATAATGCCAACATGGGTTACCTAAAATTACCACAAACAGTGCCTAGAAGTAATCCCGGCGGTTAGGTGTAACCACATCAGTGCAGTCAAATAATCGAGCACACATTTACCAAGAAGAGTTGACGTTCGAGAAAGTCAGAGTGGTCTGACACTGTCGTGAGCTGGTCGTACACGTACGGTGATGTGGCCCGCATTAGTTGATCCACACCAGTAATCTGTCCCGAGATCAGACCGCGCAGAAGCGTGACCATTTCCGGTCTGTAAGTACGCTGCAACAAGTTGAATGATGTCACTCGTTGGTTCGTCTGCAGGTCGGTAAAAGAACAGAGAAATAGAAATGGGTAGTGGATGTAGACTGCATGCCAGAAACACGGCCACAAGCTTAGGTGAATCGGTTTACCTGAATGGCTTCAGCAGTACCGCAGGCTGCCCCCACGAGAAGCTTCCCCAATTGCACGAAATCACCAGCCTAGAATCGAAGACAATGGTTGTAAGGGAAAACTTGTAATGAAATTCGTGCGCTGGCAGATAAGGTCGTGGATAACGGAAACAAGGGTATGCGCTAAAACAACCTCTAATGGCTACGTAAGGCGGAATTCTACAGTACGGCGCTGAGATGGCCATCAAAAAAATTCACAGATGCTTGATGGAGCCAATTGGATGTCGGAATAAGTGCGGCGGAAACGATGAATTTGATTGGCCGAATATACGGATTTGAAAACCAGTCATGTCCCGGTGTTCACTGCACACCAGTCGGACGCGCGCCTAATGTTCGGTACAGCTTGTTACTTACTACGAACGCTTACCATACTTAGTGTAACTTTGGTGGCCTTTCTATTGCGAACGCGATCTTCAGAATCAGACCGACTGTCATTATTCTACTGTATCAAGCCAACCATCCCTTCATCACAAATTACAAGCAGTGGGCCAGAAGTGGTGTCAAGGATATAGGAGCAATTCAATCAGAACTCTGTGTGCGCGATATTCATGAAACCTACCTCATTAAAGGCGGCTTTCCAAACTGGGCGTCTATCGTGGTACTTGGGGCCAATTTTGACTTACAAGGAAAAAGGTTAGTACTTCTGTCCCAGTTCGTGTTTTTCTAACAGGGTAGACAATTTTAGGTTATTCGAAAGGATTGTTACTTGTTTGGTTCAAACAATGCCCGAATAAGCATAAACACTCACGAAGTGACATTTTACGCCC